TGGTCCGTTTTACAAAGTTTATTTAATTTTAAAGGTAAACATATTATTTACAATGAATGTTAACGTTTGAACAAACTCAAATAATTTAACAATCATTTTTTATTACATTGTATCGTGGATAATAATAAAAAAAAAATTAAATCATTTATAATAATATCGTTAATATAAACATAGAATAAATTTAATTAAATTACATATACTTGGAACATGTAGCGACGGATAAAAACGACAACATCAGTTACCTATGTGATTTTCAATTTTTAACTTCGGTAGCTTGCGTGAAAATGTATGCATTATTGATGTTTAAATTTGTACGATACATATTAATATAACTAAAATACTGGATAATTGATCATAAATACAATACTTTACGTTTACGTGTATCGAGTACCCACCCGATTATAATTATTACATTTTTATTAAAACAAAGAAGTCCAAACAAAATGAAATATAATAGTATTAAATGTCAAATGTGCATACTAAGTATTAAACTTTTCTGTCGTGCAACATAGCCCTACCCCTTTTCAATCATGAAGCAGTTGCTTCAATGAAATCTGCATCGTGCCTCCATTGTAGATTTGCATGTTTAGTCAAAATATCAATTTTATTTTTAAATCTTCAAGAACATATTTCATAAACTAACGATAAAAATATTCTCATTTTTTTTTTGTAACAAGAGCATTATACTTAAGCCTCACAAATTCTCCTGTTACCAACTTCAGTTCCCTTTTAAATCTCAAAAATCTTTCACCTTTGACTAAACATTTCCGTGAAGAGGATCACTTGAAAGGAGTCCAGATAAATATTTTTTTATCGCCTGATATCGATCGGGCTGTTATTAATCAAGTACTAGGAAGTGTGAATCATTACCTTAGTCATTAACAATATTTGAAGTCGGTTGAAATTCCCCTACTAAACCCAGTAAAAAAATGTATCAGATTTTTTACTCTTATTGGTTATATCTCTTATCCTTATAAAAATTTTTGATTTTAAGGTATAATCTTATAGCCATTCAGCGTTTTCTGTTTTGTTAAATATTATATTTTACAGCGCTACTTATAATCGAAACATTCTTTGTTGAATTGGTGATACGAAAAATAATTGTTACTAATAAATTTAAAAATATGTGTAAATAAAATACGTGTATGATTAAATGACTAATAATAAATCGTGATTCATGATGTTTGTAAATGTAAAAGTCCATGACATAGATATTGACCAAAGGGTGGTTGTTTAAAAGAAATGCGTTTAATAAACTTTTCGATGCTTATCGAAAAACCCATACACTGGTTTTAAACGATAACCGGTCATAATCTTCGTGTTAAATCAATCAGTGAAATATTGACAACAATTTAAATTATCGTATTTCACTGTCGGTTTTCAACCAAACACTTCGGTTTTGCACGATGTATTTATTCATAACGATAAAAACCAACGTTTTTCATGTTTTTCGTATATTTTATTTCCATTAAAAACTAGGCTATTTTCAATTAATACACGTGTGACATACAGTGATGAGTTTATAGTGCTATCGGATTATTAAAATTATTAGTCCACACCTACACGACGGGTTTTTATTTGCTTTTCTCACCATCAAAAACTTTCAGACTCAAAAATATGTATTTTACATATTCGTTGGATTCGGAATTAAACTATAACGACGCTCCCTAAAATAAAAGTGTTCCGGTACTATAATTTTGTATTGTATTGTTTTGTATATTACTTTAGTATTGTGCTCGTTAAGCTATCATAGCAGACGGAACATCTGGAAATGAAATGAAAACCATTAGTCGAAGCAATACACATAACATATCTGTTTTTGCATAATGTAACTTAAGGATTGATTGTCTTCTGTTCTTATGAATTGCTTCCGCGTTTACATTTAATATACATTCACCGTTGTTGTTGATTATGTAGCATTGTTTGTAAAATTAATTCAATAAGCTAACCCATGAACGGTAAAAATATACCACAAAAACTCACAATAGACAGATAATACCGTTATTCGAATAACATTTCATTTAGATAGCATTTTAATCGATTCAATTATTATTCGGAAGATTTTTTCAAGATTATACAAATAATTTTCATTCGTTTGTACTCGAATATTTTTCAAACATAATTGTCGGATATATTATTTAAATAAACAATATTTGTTTACTCATATTATGATTTTTTTTTCAATCCATAAATTGGTTCATTAATTAAATGTTTCCTCACTCTTCTCTATCCTTAGCAACTTCCTTTAATTTTTTATAGGATCTTATACCCAAGTCTAACATGATTTGTTTCATATAAGACTGTCTTGGCCTTTTATCTGGTTTTCTGGTTTTTCTTCGATTTCCCCTTCAATTATAACGTTACCCATTTATTATTTCTAAAGAGGTGTCCTATTCAGTGGCGTATACATAACTTTTGTATGGGAGGGAGGATCATTTGTAAGCAAATCATTATTTTAATTTTATCATTATTGTTTTTTTTACGTTTCTTAAGTCCTTGCACTAAGAACATTATTTTATAACATTTAAAAAAAAGGCCTAAGGGAGGATCTGATCCCTAAACCCCCCCCCCACTTTGTATATGCCACTGGTTCTATCAATTTTTTTTCTTCTCTCCCCGATTGTCGTCCATATCGACCTCCTTTCATTTATTTTATTATATACAGCTTCATTTAATATTCGTTCGGTCCAAGAGATTTTTAATGCCCTTCTCCAACACCAAGTTTTGAAAGCTTCTATTATTCTTCTATCAGCCTTTAGAACTATCGTATTATATAGATGTTACATATTATCATTGATTATAAATAGTAGTACACATAATCAATGATATTATGATTGTTAGTTGGTAATTTAAAACATGCACATGTTAAAACAACAGTTGGAATGGTATTTGAAGTTGGATGATTGTAAGTATTTTTTTGTGTAGACGATAGTTACATCCAATAGCTAAATGGTATACGTCATGTGCTTACGTTATGGCCTAATAGAACAAAACAATTTATTGTAGCGGAACACCTACGCCTACGTTGCGCCTCGCGTTCGCGGTACACTAAAACGAATCGTTAAATCTTATAATACATTCGTGTTTTGTATTAGCATCGTAGTTTTGCAAATCATTCGAACGATCGTACGGGAAAAGTAAACAGTTTCGAAAAATAAATTATTCGAACGACTGTAACAACAAAAATCATTCGAACAGTTTTCCATTCGTAAACATGTTTATTCGACAACCGTCCGGACAACGTTTCGCACGACTCCTCGGTGACCGGTGCTCGCATACGGAACACGGTAAAACTCGCTGCCGTGCGGTCGACAAATAATATTCCGTTTGGCGCCCGCGACTCGTCGTTATCGCGTTTTCCGCTAGGGCGCGACGTTGCGGAGCGAGATCGCCTTGACGGGCTCGTGGAACGCGATGTGCCGCGCGCGCGATTCGTCACCCCGGCAGAGATGGCGTTGGTGAGCGCCGTCGATTACGAATGCGAATTTGACGCGGCCGCCGAGCGTTTCGCGCGACACGCAGCTCGAAAATTCGAGGGGTCGCCATCGCCAGCATTCGAAAAGTTCGCGCCGGTGCGGTTCGGCGGACGGCCAACGGAACCGTCGGTCGTCGGACATGGGACGATCGGGTGAATGGAACCGTTCACCTTCTGTTCAGCCCCGACTCCGAGCCTACTGCATATAACGCCTCGGAATCGTGTTCTCAACCAACTCCGGTTCCCTTTCAATACGAATAAATCTTTCGCCTTTTACTAAAGATTTCCGTGGAGGGGAGCATATTAAGGAGTCTAGATTAATAATTTTTTTAATGCCCGACTTTACAGTTGGGCTCTGATCTTTATGAACGAATATTAACATATATCAAGATAACGTTACTAACATCTGTGATGTTATAACATTATCACCTTTCGGTCGTGCCATGGTAACCTCATTAGTCACGTTACCATTGCTTGGCGAACTGAATATTTCGTCTCCGTTTCTATCACGATGTTATACACTCCGTACAGAATTCCTGTTGATAGTTTTGTGTGATAGACATGCTGTTACGTAATATTGATAACGTATACGAGTATATAACCTGTTTCCGTATTTTGATTACTAACGTCTGATCTTATCAATATGGCTTTTTGTAAATCTAATAAAATCGTAAAAACCAATCGAAATCCAAACGCGATAAAAAATTTGAGAAAACCACGGGTAATTTTACTTTGGCGAACCGAACGAATCGATTTTTCAGCTCAGCAAATAGCTACGTGCACATTTTGTGTATACGTTTTTTTCAGCTTTTTACAGTTTTACACCGCGAAGACAAAAACGCCTCTGGCGAACCCGTTGAGCATTAAAACACGTAATCAATTACACGAGTAAACAACCGATTTACCTCTGCCGATCCCGAGAACGAGCAATTATATTTAAACACAATTGAACAAATACATTATATCGTATAACCATAAATTACGCCGTACACTCGAATGTTTCAATCGATGACGACGACGTGTAATATTTTGGTTCGACTTGGGTGCCGACGAAATTAGTTTGACAATACGTGATTGTATTCTTTTCGTTGCCTCGGCTATCGACTGGCATAGCTTAACCTCCTCCCAATTGTTTCCAATTGCTATTCGACCACGGGCCACACGTCCGCTCCTTCGACGGCTAACCCGTTTCCTTGGCAAACGGAAAAACACGTAGACGCGTTCATTCGGTCTGAACGACGACGCGCACATAGATGGCGCCGTGTGTTCCACAATTGCGTTTCTCATCTGCTACCGACGCACAACGCACGCTGTTGAGGCTTCTTCACCGCCCTTGCTTTACATCCGTTTGTCCGTTTTTACCTCGTTAACAGGACCGGCGTTGCAACACCCCCCCTCCCCACCTATGAATATCCTATTTGTACAGTCGGCAATCATCAACAAATTAAGTAAAATCGGTTCCTACCGAAGAATTTCGTTTTTGGAAAGTAGTCGGCAAATTTGTATATTTATAAATCACACCTCCACTTCCCTATCAATATTTGCAGTGCCGACGCTGCTAGTTAGTCGGTACAATATGCGTTCACGTTTCAACTTTAAAATAACATTTCCCCTCCTCCCCTCGCCCAAAGGTATTTTTTCAGGTGTCCATGTTTACGATTCCTATGCAACTAATGCGATACTTGTCTAGAATACGATTTCTGTTGTTCATAAACGCCAGAAATTATAGCAAACGGAATACTACTATCTATGTGATTACGTAGACACCTACAATGTCTGACATAACAATGATAGAGGGGGATTTTTAACGGATAAAGTTAAATTATGTGATAAACGTATAACGTAACGTTTGTTATGTTTTTACCCTGTATTCCGAAGCGTTTCATCCCATATTGAAATCTATCATAATATTTTGTACATATTTTACTTTATCATTAGAAAAACTGTTGAGAATTCAATAAATTACCTCCCTAATGCACCGACTAGGCAAAATTTGCAGTCGGGAGCAAATAAAAAAGCGGAATGATCGGAGGAACATTTTCGGTCGAAATCGAGTTTATAAGTTGGAAAAAATATGAAAAAATAAAAGCAAACACACACACACACACACTCACCTCATCCTATATTCAATATAAAAATCTATTATTATTTTTGTTAATCGTTCATCGTGGGCAGGCCCCTCAAAAAAAAAAAAAATTATGAACATTAAACATTCCTACGTGTTTGTTTATTAATTAATATATGCAATAAAACAAAGGAGATTAAACTTTTTTATTTATTTTTAAAAATTAACAACATTAGCCACGTTCGAGTTGTTTAATAGGTTTTTTTTATTTCAAAAAGACGACCACCACACCCA